TAAAAGGACCCTACTGTTCAAAGAAAATCATGTCTAGTAAAAAAATTTGCTGATATTTTTTACAGAAATTTCTGGTATCAGCTTTAATTGATATAATAAATATGCCAGAGGAATTTCAGAAAAATCGTTGGAGCAGAAGTCCGTAACTAAATGTTGCTCAAAATTCAGCTGTGAAATTGTTTTGGAATTTCAAAAATAAATTACTATCAGGAAGAAGGAGACACCAGTTTCAATTTTAGCTAATTTTCGGGACAAGTAAATTCAATGTTTGCTAATTCTGAAAAAAGAAGCCGATTGCCTATCGTGCTATTCTTTAAAAGGTACTTTTCAGTTTTAGAAGCACTATAAATTGCTCCAAACCTTGCTCTGACGTCGAATGACTTGTTCCTCGACATTTTTAAAATATCCCTCAGCAGTTTTGGTTCAAACTCCTGCTACATACATTTTGATGTATTGCAATGCATCCTCAACGGCGTTTCCTGCTGTACGTTGTTTCCAATTCAGGAAAAAGGTATTGGGGTTGTAAGCTACCTTGTATCAAAGCTCAGATAGAACTGTCCAGCACCTTTGTTTACGACCAGAAAATGAGCACGAGCGGCAGCTCTGCAAGGAATTCGCACCTCAGCCAGGGGGGACGAATGACAATGATGCCCACGTCTGTGAACCGATCTGCATAAACATGTATTGTAGAGCAAACATAATAATCAAGAAAAAACTACCCATTCATTGAAGGGAGGAGTGACAAAAATTTCTGGTATTTATTCACGGGCAGTATTTTTGCAATAATTTTATTTTGCACTGTGATGTTATTCGGTTCACAGGCACGGTCTTCATTGTCGTTCGTCCCCCCTGGGTGAGGTGCGAATTCCTCGCAGAACTGCCGCTCGTGCTCTTTTTGTAGTCATAAACAAAGGTGCTGGACAGCTCTATCTGAGCTCTGATACGAGGTAGCGTCCAATCTCAATACTTTTTTCCTGAGTTGGAAGCAACGAACAGTAGTAAAAGTCGTTGAAAATGCATTGCAATACATCAAAATGTATGCAGCAGGAGTTTGAGCCAAAACTGCCAAGGGATATTTTAAAACTGTCAAAGAACAAGTCATTCTACTTCAGAGCAAGGTTTGGAGCAATTTATAGTGCTTCTAAAACTAAAAAGTACCTTTTAAAGAATAGCACGATAGGTAATCGGCTTTTGTTTTAAGAATTAGCAATCACTGAATTTACTTGTCCCGAAAATTCAAACTGGTGGCTCCTTCTACCTGATAGTAATTTATTTTTGAAATTCCAAAACAATTTCACAGCTGAATTTTGAGCGTTAAGGTTCTGTTTAAGTGCAAAGCGGTGAAAAAAATATGTTGTCATCTTATAAGAATGTACATTGTAAGTTGTTCCCTGTGGACAAAGCCTCTTTTCCCTGGTATTCCATGGGTGTCTATTTTCCTCCCATTAGTTGAATACCAGGGAAAAGAGGTCCCACCTGTTAAGAGGGAAGCTAAGTTAAAATGGATGTCAAAAAGCATTTTTAACCAGGGATATATCAATATGACGTTATTTTCCTTCAGCCTGTAGACTACTAGTTTCCCCGGAAAATGACGTCTGCGAAACAAGCACAGAAATTCCATACAAACAACTCATCACTATCCATATCTGGGTGGTGCTTTAAATTCGTCGTGCCGTGTGGGAAATTAATTTGCTTCAACTAATAAATTTTTTATCTAAGCCTTAAATATTTTAAAACAAGCCAAAAATATTATCAGGGATCAGATGAGAAATGGCATTTGATGGGTGGGTAATATGAAAAAAGACTGCATTGTTTTTCAGCTGGAAAAAACACATTGATGTCTGGGTATTTTCCCCGGCTCCTGGCTATTATCTACATCCCTGATTATACACGTCAGTGAGGCAAGAATCAATTTTTCTCGGGCTATTCAGCCTGCAACAGTGCAATAAGACACGTTACTCAAAACCTTGATAATGATTATTTACGGGGGCCAACTGATATCTGCATGTATCCACTTCTGATTGGCCATGCAGATGGTTACTCTTTTTGTGACAGGATTTCTTGTGCAATAGATCAAGAAAATTACCATAATTCCCTAGGTAATGATGTCAGCAAAATACTGCAGAATAAATTTGAGGACAAGCATTCAAAGCCTTTTACAAGTAACAGAATGTAAGAATGTTGATCAAGTTGATTCAGTAATGTTGCTTGTGTGTCACATACATGTGTATCTCACAGTAGTTATTATGATATGAGCAATATACTGTAGACTGGGGTAAGTCCAGGGTTTGAGCTAGGATTTGATCACTGGGGGACAATTTGTCCCCTTGGCTAAAATTTTAGGGGACATTTTCATTTTTAGGGGGACAGAAATTTGTACACCCTTCTGCTGATGCAAAGGGTTTGTCTTCTTAGCAGGGCTTCTGATAGGTCTCGGAAGAAAAAGTCAAATTTCGCGGGATTTTTAGGGACAAATTCGCGGAAAAATCGGCCGATTTCGCGGGAGTTTTCGGGGCAAACTTCACCGAAAAGCAATCGGTAAAAAACGGCCGGGAAAAATTTCCGTATAACCCCATACATTAATTATGCATTCTGTGTCATTAATAATGCATCCGCCTTATTGTCTTCTAAGACAATGGTGAATTCCCCAGAGTATTGCATATATACATCGGTAATGAATACTTACTGCGTTAGTAAAAAAGGATTTCAATTTTTGTCTTTTATTTATCTTTTTCCACCCCTGTCTTTCTCTTTTTTCCCCTCTCATTCACCTACCACTCTCTCCAATGCCCCCCGGTTTCCTTTTTCCTTTTTTTTCTCGGTAGTCGGCGCGATTTGAACCAACGCTTCCCTGTAGCTCCGGCGTACCTGTCTCTCTGCCATACCACTAGACCACGACGATTTGTTGGGATTCCCTGGTCAAAAAATTGATATCTTTTTGCGTGCTCAAGTTCAAATATACATAACAAAAGAACTGAAATGTGTATTCATGTAAATTATTCACGCTTTTGCTTGTAACATATCCACGAAAACATGTATCTCTTCAGGCAATAACAAGCACGCACAAGCTTCACAAACACTCCTCCCTTGTATTACACTTGTCAGGGACTTGGTCAACTTTCATGCTTAGTATGGCTCAACTAAACTTTTGAAAGGCTCTCCAGAATACAGGTGGATCGTGACCGCGACCGGTACATAGAGTGGTGTAAGGAAAACATAAGCTGCCCTCACAACTTCTGTTAAATGTGCAAGAGCTTTGGGAGCGGACTTAAATGAAAGCTGATTCACTCAGTTTCCTAACCCTAATAACTAAACTTCAAGGTCATTCGGCGTTTTTCAAAAATACCCCGGCCGTTGTCCAAGAAGAGCAGGAATAACGCAACTCAGTTTAGCCATCATTCGTGCTCAAATTTTGGAGGTGTACAGACGTGATGAGCGACGAGTATGGGTCTTATGAATATCTACAAGAGGAGGGCTAGGAACAGCCCAAGCTTCGTAAAATACACCCAGCTGACACAGGTGCCGACACGCAGCGCATCGAAAATAGATGGAGGGGTAAAGCATGGTTTGCCCTGTACAGGAACATTCAAAGAACTATTCCGCAAAAGCAACTACTGGCAGGAGTTTTAAATATGTGGCGTAGGCATTACGGTGAAGTTCTCTTTGGAAGCATGATAGTAAAGCATATCGTCGAACTTTATAATGACGTTGGGAACCGCACGTAAAGGGCTAAATAAAACAGGCAGATCAGACGTAGGAGGAGAAGGTGGAAACTCGAAAATATAGTTCAGGAAAAAAAGGAAACTCTGAGGAATAAGGTAGACTTTTATTTTACTTTAATTGTTTATTAAACCCTGCGTTACGATCGATGGATAGTTTACTCAACGCCACTAATTACATTGATTATCATTATCTCTGGGGTCATTATAAAGTTAGATTTCGGAAAGCGAAGATAGTCCGAAATTTGTTCCAAAAAGTTGTTATTTTAGTTCAAAAAGCGCCAAATTTAGCGTGTTTCAAAAAAGACTTAGAAAAAAAATTAAAAATTTCTAAAACAATAGCTGAACTTAGTATTGTTCTGTCTTTTGTTTTCTTTAAACAATGAATGTATGCATAATTAATGTATGGGGTTATACGGAAATCTTGCCAACGGCCGATTTTGTGGTTATTTTCAAGGCAATTTCGCTAGAAATCGATCGGTTTTGCGCTGATCAGACCAGCCTTTTTAACGTTTTTCTAACAGAGGTCATCATTTGCTCTTTCAACAAAAATACGCTCCAGAAATGAACCAATGGCAAAGCCTTTAACATCATGGCTAGTGCCCAGTTTTTTGCAACATAATCTGTTTGCACGTTTCATTGACGGAGTTCCAAGATACTTTTGCAAGTTTACGGCAAGTATTAGCCCGTATAGCTGAAATAAGTTTCAAATATGTTGTACAGACATGTATTTGATAACATTTCTACCGAATTTCGCGGTATTTTTCGTGTTTTTGTGAATTTCGCGGCTCCACGACCGCGCAAAATATCAGAAGCCCTGTCTTAGATTTCCGACAAAAATAGCAGTAGAGCGTGACTGAAACGTAACTTTAGAATGAACTTTAAACGTGCGATAAAATATACTTTCCACGTTCTGTTTCAGCTTGCAATTTCTGTACTGAAATAAATCTTTTCGTGTGTGCTTCCTTTCGAGGTTTTTTCCTAAATTTTGAAGGGACAAATTGTCCCCTTGACCATTTTTTAAAGGGACAATTCCAATTGCAGGGCAGGATTGGCGTAATGGCGCAGCCTGGTTCAAACCCTGTAAGTCTAAATATTGGCTGGGGTAAACTATATGTTTGGAACCACAGAATGAAAATTTATCAGAAGGGTCCTTTTTGGAGTAAGAGAACTAAAATTAATAGAGACTGAAAATACAATAAATTATACTTTAACTATAACAAGGATTTCCTAGGTTAATCTAGATAATAAATAATAAATTTATTAATAAGAAGAAAATGCTTACCCATTGACTGTAGTTACAGAGAAGAAATAACCAAAAAATCCTTTAAAAAAAAGATGTCCAACTTGTGAGAGCACCGAATCAGCTTTTTGATGGCAGTTCTGCAGGAAGGCTTCAGTTTCTTTATCCAGGGTGCTCTCTACAAACTTTGCTTGCAATTCTTCTGAGAGTGAAGAGTTAATGCACTTGTACCACTAAAAAGAAAAAAACAAACAAACAACACATAATAATTTGGTTAATTGGGGCTGGTTTGATTTGTAAGCATTTTTCTTCACAAAGAAATTTTCTGTACATGCAATAGCAACATTTTGCAAATCTGATCTTTATTTAGTCTAGGTGTGGCTTCCTTTGAAGCAGTGTTCAGGGCTCGAAATATTGACCGGTCAAAGGACAATGTTCAGACTGAAGGAGAGTTGACTAATCAATCTTTTGTCTTGATGGTCATGTTCATCGGTCACATTCGATCATATTGAAAATCAAATCAATTAAAATTTCCATGCCGTTCAGTTGTTTCAGTTATTATCAGTATGCAGTGAGTCACTGTGTATTGTGGAGCTTTGATCTGAAATTCTGGGTGAAATGCACGTAAACCGTTGTTTACAATTCGCTCATATCTGCCCCACCTCCAACAAGATTCTAACAGCAGTTGCACAATATAACATGATCAGAAAGATCAAATATCAAAGACTGTCAGTTAGAGGTAAAGATTTGGGTAGAAATAAAAAAATGTACTGTATGTGATCGATTGTGCAAGAAATATTTTCAGAAAGGGGGCTGGAAAACCAGTGGGGTGTTTACAGTCTGCACTCACTGATGTTGTATCTATATCTTGGTTTTCCTCCTCAGCTACTTGTAGTCGTTCTAATAACAATCTTCCAGTTCTACTTCTCACATATTGACTGGCCCACATGTATTTATGTCCAAAAACAGACAGTACTGCAGAAAATAATCAACAAAAAGTTAGCACTTTCATTAATCCTGTAATTAAAAATAAGGGTGCTTTCCAAAAGTCAGAATTGGCCAGCCGGACCATGGCTGGACCAGACATTTTGGCAATGAAAAAGGCTTTTTCCAAGAGGTTTTGCTGAAAAAACATCTCCTTTGTGCATAATATTTCAGATTTGACTGATCTGAATGGATAGTTTTGGTTAAAATTGATATTCTCATTTCGATGGGAATGGGCTGGCCAGTCAGTACTGACAAAATAATGGAAGGCGCCCAAGTTGTCACTTTAAATGCTAATGGTTAGGCAGGGGTTGACATTAACGGCTGCCCACTTGCCCCTGGCAACTAAAAATTGCATCCAGGCAACTAAGTTTAGGATCCTAGTTGCCCGATTGAACAACTGCAGTTTAACGAATGCTTTCTTTCACTGATTGACTTGCACTTCCCTAAATCCAATCCCCTCCACAAAATATTTAACAAAAACACTATTAAAATATTAAGTTATAGTTGCAACTCCAAGGCCAAAACTCTCATATCTAATCACAACAAATCAGAATTGAACAAATGCAAGCAAACAGATGTAAATTACAATAATTATTATTGTAATTTTTGAAATCCCAACACCTGCCCCATGGACAAAAACAGGGTATAACAATTACATCAAACAGAGATATCCACACTAACTGCCAAGGAAACATTTATCCGACTATGTGGCACAACATTTCAACTAAGACACAGAAACCACATAATGAATGTTACAAACATGCAACGGAACTAAGCAAATATATTTGGAACTTGAAAGATAAGAATGTGAAATATACCATCAAATGGCGCAAGGTAAAGCAAGCAAAATTGTATACAAATGTCACCAAGAAATGAAATTTGTGCTTGTGGGACTGAGAAATACTTTGTAATTTGTAAACCAGAAAAGTCTACCCTAATAGAAATGAACTAATCTCAGTTAATTTGCAGACACTCAAAGAAATTTCTACTAAACACTGCTCTAATTTGATTATTTGACATGACCTTTATAAGCATCACTTGATTAGCAGTATGACACACAATGCACCATACCACATGCCACGCTTAGTATTCTATTGTTCTGTTTTCCCTTTTTCTAAGTTTAGGATCCTAGTTGCCGGATCATACAACTGCAATTTCTGTGAAAGTTGTAGGTTAAAATGTCTCAGTATTTTTGTATCAAGTCTATCTTTTAAACTATCAAAATTTTTGTATTTATATTATTTGTGAATGTATGTATTTACGTGAGTCATACATGCAACTGTGTAAATTAAAGAGAGATTGAAATATCATCTTGAATTTTTGTTTTTTTTTGTTTGTTCACTGGAAGTTAGCCTGAGAATCATAAGTTTTAGGCGCCCGTTCAGGCTCCCTGTTTGAAATTTTGGTCGCCTGAGGGTAAATCATGGGTGTCTCTGGTGACCGGGCACCCGTTAGGCAGCAGCCTTGTGAGTTCAAACCTATTTCGATTTGGCACATAGTAATGAAGTAATCGGATGAAATTCAGGCCAATTATTGGCCTGAATTTCATCCGATTACTTCGAGCCATCATTACTCTCTCAATTCAGGCGTTGCTGAGAGGAGAATATGACTCAAAGCAATTGGATGAAATTCAGGCTTTGGGTGAATGTGAACAAATTTTTGTTTAGAATATTATCCTCATTTATCCTCTGCTAACTTTGAATATGAATATTAAGGAAAGTTAATAAAAAGGTACCTGTTTTGCGGATATAGCTTGATTTAATTTGTTTGTACCGAATGTTTTGGGAAACTAATATTCTTCTTCGGGCAACTAGATCATGAGGCTTTGTTGCCCAAAGGGCAACCAACTTAAAAAGTTAATGTTGACCAATGGTTAGGTTTCATTTACTGTTAGGTTTGTTACCATAGATTTGTAAAATGACAAGGGAAGGTGATAAAATTAAAAGGGAAAGGTGGTTCTGGAGGATGGAATTTAATGCAGACCAGTCAACAACGTGGACTACCTGGACTACCCTGAGAACCTATTTTTTTTAAAATCAACAAGATTTTGCAAATCACCAATACAATGAAAAAAAAGATACTTTGATACTTCTCCACCTCAGGTTCCAGCAAACCCTACAGGGGCAATTACTTAAATAGCACTAACAGATGTGAGACTAAAAGATGAATATGTTGTGGTTCAATTTTATCCTTGGTTAAGGTGGCTCCGTAATTAATACAAGAGCATTTTGCTGTAACAAATTTTCCGTCATAACTTTTTCGATTTTAACGCGATGGCTGCGAAACTTTGCAAAGAACAACAGATATCATTCGGCAATAATACGAAATATTCCGATTTCATTGATCGTAAATATTTCTTGAGAAATTAGCGCTTAAAAGGACCCTACTGTTCAAAGAAAATCATGTCTAGTAAAAAAATTTGCTGATATTTTTTACAGAAATTTCTGGTATCAGCTTTAATTGATATAATAAATATGCCAGAGGAATTTCAGAAAAATCGTTGGAGCAGAAGTCCGTAACTAAATGTTGCTCAAAATTCAGCTGTGAAATTGTTTTGGAATTTCAAAAATAAATTACTATCAGGAAGAAGGAGACACCAGTTTCAATTTTAGCTAATTTTCGGGACAAGTAAATTCAATGTTTGCTAATTCTGAAAAAAGAAGCCGATTGCCTATCGTGCTATTCTTTAAAAGGTACTTTTCAGTTTTAGAAGCACTATAAATTGCTCCAAACCTTGCTCTGACGTCGAATGACTTGTTCCTCGACATTTTTAAAATATCCCTCAGCAGTTTTGGTTCAAACTCCTGCTACATACATTTTGATGTATTGCAATGCATCCTCAACGGCGTTTCCTGCTGTACGTTGTTTCCAATTCAGGAAAAAGGTATTGGGGTTGTAAGCTACCTTGTATCAAAGCTCAGATAGAACTGTCCAGCACCTTTGTTTACGACCAGAAAATGAGCACGAGCGGCAGCTCTGCAAGGAATTCGCACCTCAGCCAGGGGGGACGAATGACAATGATGCCCACGTCTGTGAACCGATCTGCATAAACATGTATTGTAGAGCAAACATAATAATCAAGAAAAAACTACCCATTCATTGAAGGGAGGAGTGACAAAAATTTCTGGTATTTATTCACGGGCAGTATTTTTGCAATAATTTTATTTTGCACTGTGATGTTATTCGGTTCACAGGCACGGTCTTCATTGTCGTTCGTCCCCCCTGGGTGAGGTGCGAATTCCTCGCAGAACTGCCGCTCGTGCTCTTTTTGTAGTCATAAACAAAGGTGCTGGACAGCTCTATCTGAGCTCTGATACGAGGTAGCGTCCAATCTCAATACTTTTTTCCTGAGTTGGAAGCAACGAACAGTAGTAAAAGTCGTTGAAAATGCATTGCAATACATCAAAATGTATGCAGCAGGAGTTTGAGCCAAAACTGCCAAGGGATATTTTAAAACTGTCAAAGAACAAGTCATTCTACTTCAGAGCAAGGTTTGGAGCAATTTATAGTGCTTCTAAAACTAAAAAGTACCTTTTAAAGAATAGCACGATAGGTAATCGGCTTTTGTTTTAAGAATTAGCAATCACTGAATTTACTTGTCCCGAAAATTCAAACTGGTGGCTCCTTCTACCTGATAGTAATTTATTTTTGAAATTCCAAAACAATTTCACAGCTGAATTTTGAGCGACTTTTAGTTACGGACTTCTGCTCGAACGATTTTTCTGAAATTCCTCTGGGATATTTATTATATCAATTAAAGCCGATACCAGAAATTTCTGTAAAAAATATCAGCAAATTTTTTTACTAGACGCGATTTTCTTTGAACAGTAGGGTCCTTTTAAGCGCTAATTTCTCAAGAAATATTTACGATCAATGAAATCGGAATATTTCGTATTATTGCCGAATGATATCTGTTGTTCTTTGCAAAGTTTCGCAGCCATCGCGTTAAAATCGAAAAAGTTATGACGGAAAATTTGTCACAGCAAAATGCTCTTGTATTAATTACGGAGCCACCTTAATATACTTTATTTTCCTTTGTTTTTGGGTATGGTAATGTATGACAATGAGTTTGAAACAAAGGAAAATAAAATGTTAACCAAGGATTGAACCACAACATTGCAGTTTACTTCGTTTGTATTTTGATCAACAGCAATAGTCCAATATACAGCTACTGGTGAAAACAAGGCTAGATTTGAACCCTTCTTGCTCTATTATGTAAATCATGTTCTCCTTATGCAAACTAGTATTTTTCAAAAAAGGAAAGAGGTTTTTATCTGACAAGGTCAACTTCAGCCTCACATTCACTTATATAAATGATAGCGCCAGCTGTAAAATGGTCTACTTAGAGCTAGTACAACCAAAAAAGGCCTTAAACCTTCACGCAGTTTCTTATTAATGGTTCAATATTATATATTGATCCTACTTGAAACATAATGAGGTTCTAGTATACATCTACAGCTGTAAGATGTACGAGATCTTTCATAACTTTCCACAGGACATTTACCCTTTTAGAGGTTAGAGACACAAAATCTTCGACCACTAGAAAGAGACCTAACTGAGGTGAATCTTATTTATTAATTATTGTTCTTGACAAAAAGGATAAAGTTGTAGAACAAGTTTTAATAATAAAATTTGTTCTCCAACTTTAATTTTATGTAAGACTGTTTTTGAGGAAATCTATAAGGTTTTCTATTCTATACAACACTGGAAGCATACCTGAGAAAAGAAGACTGAATATGACCGTGAAATACAGCTCGCAAAGTTAAAAAGAGAGCATCAATTCACTCTGATAAAGCGCCATGTTGTACACTTTTTACTGAATTGAGCTTGGTTACCAAGCAGAAAAAGGCCGGTTATTCTGTCATGTTACTCTATATCCTTCATGTAAGCCATGTTGCCATGGGAGCTGGAAAGCCCTGTTTAAAAATGAAAACAAGGCATACGGCATTTATTTTTGATAAA